TTAATCAAGGTATTCCTGTATATTATCAAAATCAAAGAACAGTTTGAACTGCTAGGAAGCTTGATTTATTTGAGAAAGATATTAGCATAATTCAGAATTTTCATACTGGGAGCAAACCACCTGTATACAGATAGAAAATAAATCCAATAAATATACAAAAATAGAAAGTGACATAAGACAAGTTGTATCTTCTCACCAGACTTATTCAACAAAGACAGTGAGGTGATCCTGTGAAAACTAGAAGCCCTACCAGGATTTATTAGTGGTGGACACAATCTTAACAACATAAGATATGCAAATGACACAGTGTTGATAGCAGACATGGAAAGGAAACTACAGGAACACCTAGAGAAGGCAGTAAAGGAAAATGAGAAGCAAAGACTAAACATCAATTGAAAAAAGACATAATTTATGATTGTCAGCAAGAGGGACAGCCAAATTATAATTGGCAATGCCAAAAAATCAAGCAAGTATGAAAATTCAAATATCTGGGAAATGTTTTAATACACGATGGGAAAAAATTGAAGACTGAAATTCAAAGATGATTTAAAATAGCAAAAGCTAAACAAAGTATTAAATAATAGGAAAGTTTTATTAGAAACAAAAAAAAAAGAAAGTGTGCTGAACTGTCATGCAATATCTGTTCTCTTATATGGCAATGAATGCTGGACAAACTGCTCACAGATGAATAAGAGGCTTCAGGCAACAGAAACGTGGTTCTACAGATAGATGCTAAGAATACTATGTGCTGAACATGTGAGTAACAAATAAGTTTTAGAGAAAATAGAAGCAAAAAGAACACTTATACTTAGAATCAGAAAGAGACAGCTGACATTTCTACTACACAAAATAAGGAAAGAGAATTTAACAACCACAAGATATACTGAAGACAACAGAGACAGAGGGATAGTGAAAGGACAAAACTTACTAAGAGCTACAAAGGATAGGAAACTGTGAAGAGCCATGATCATCCACATCCTGAATGCAAGAAGGACAGAGGAAAGCAGCAACCTACTTAACAATCTTGGAAGGATGAACCTTACAAAGGATATAAAGGATATTACCCACATACTGAAGGATCACAGTATATAGAAGTTACAGAAATTTCTTTGAATTCTCAGAACTTAAGTTCTAAAATCATTTTAGGTACAATGTCTTAAAATATTTTCATGTGTGTGTGTGAGGATGTCTATTTATAATGGAAAAAAAAATCACTAAATAAGTAATTTCATTCTTCCTGAGTGCTGATGTTATTGATGAAGAAGTTCTAGACAGGACAATCCTTGTTTCCTTTCCTCCAATCTTATTTGATTGGAAGCGAGACAAAGTGCAGGAAGATTTGGGTTCATGACTTTTCTAAAAGCCTTAGCACAAAATGATACTATTTACTATGATACGAAATGCAATGTTTTATCTTCATCTCTCTATATATATATATATATATATATATATATATATATGCACAAACATCATATACTTTATATTTAGAACATACAGTATATGTATTTATGAATGTATTCACACATACATCTCTATAAATATAACTGGAAATTGAAAAGATTCTTTAATTGTCAATAAGTGATATATTTTCTGTCTGCATTTCTGGGATGAGAAGTTATAATTATTTGCACTATCTACATGTGAACTATTGTCCATATCTTTCTTGTAGCTACACCTGATGAAGGCTGTCTGAAACATGATAACAACAACAAAGTGGAGGACAATAGTCTGCATGTAGATAGTGGAAATAAATCATATACTTATTTTTCTAAAATTAATAAATTTTCTAAATAAGAAAAAAAAACACTCATCTATCACCAAAAATAAAAATATCATTAAACAATTCTATTGCAATCAGATTCACTATGCACAAAAGTAAAAAGCTATCAAAAATATAATTCTTTGGCACATATCACTTAATGATTGCAACAAATACCTTAGAATTATTATAAAAATTTAAAAGAATTTAACCTAATCATTACCAATGACTAGTGAGCATAAAAATCCCCTCTCAGTAAAAACAATGCTGTTTGTGAATGTCCTTTGGGTAACTGCATCAATAGCAATAATCACAAAACAACATTATATTCTTACATTGGTCACACAAGCACCACACTCTCTTACAGCTTAACTTGTCACTTATCAAAACAGTGTAATTAGTGTACATAGCATCACATTACAAACAACCAATATACAACAATTAATATCAGAAAATATTGATAGATAATGCCAAAATATGATATAGTACTCATTGTAAAGACAGACTCAAAATACTTGAAGCTATTATTAAAAAAAAAAAAAAACCACCTACATTGAATATCTTTCAATGGCATTTTAAAATTTGTATGAAATATTTAAATTTTTTATTAAATAATTATGATATATTTATATACTCATTTCAGGTGCTGTTAAGCTCTGTGAAAGTGTTCTATACATGACATTAATTATATATGTATACTTAAATTTGAAACCTAATGCCCCCCCCACCAACTAAAAAAAACACTAGTAGGTAACTAACAACTCTTGCCTATAACACTGGCAACATTTAGTTTCTGATAATGACTGAGATTGTCAAAAAGTACTCAAAAATATAAACTTTGGACAGTTTATCTGCAATTTTCATCTAGATAAATAACAACTTATTTGAAAATTGGAAAAATATGAAAAACATTGAACAGGTAAATGTTGATTGAATTTAATACAACTTTTTTATATATATCTGGGTAAAAGTGCTCAATATCAGAGATAGAGCAAGTGTATATATAAGAGTGGACACTGAGGTCAACACTGAGTGGTGACAGTCTGTTTCATGTTTGAATGCCATTTTCAGGTCATGATTGTGTTCAAGCATGAAACAGATTGTTGCCTTCAATGTGTCCTCTCTTATATATAATATATATGGTCTATCCCTGATATTGAGCACTTTTATCCATAATTATAGCATACTTTAAAACTATCAGGTCATCCCATAAGTTCTGTCCGAATTTTAACTTTTTGTTAAAATGAACAAAATTTAATGAGTATTTTATAATGTCTAATGGAGCTGAACATTATTTTTATGTTTAGAAGCATTTAAACTGATCAAATTTTTTTTCAGAGAACAATAAAATTAAATTTTGTTTGATTAAAACCCTGCTAACATGGAAGTACCTAAGAATCAATTGAGGCACATAATGCTTTATGAGTTCAAGAAAGGAAACTCAGCAGCTGAAACGGCTAGAAACATTCACTCAGTTTATGGAGAGGAATGTGTGAATGAAAGAACTTGCAGAAGATGGTTTGCAAAATTCAGAGGTGGAGATTTCACCCTTGAAGATGAAGATCGAACCGGACGTCCAGTGGAGTTTGATGAAAAGCTTCTTGAAGCAGCCCTTGAAGAAAATCCTGCTTTATCAGTTGAGGAATTGGCAGTGGTTCTCAGTTCAAATCATATAACTGTTCATCATCATCTTCAACAACTTGGAAAAGTTCCTAAACTTGGAAAATGGGTGCCTCATGAATTGTCTAAAAACAACCTCAAATCCCAAGTTGACATCTGCTCTTCTCTCCATTTTCACCAACTTGTTTTACCTTTTTTGGATAGACTTGTGACTGGCGACGAAAAATGGATCTTTTATTGAAATGTTAAGCATCGTAGACAGTGGCTTGGTAAGGGGAAGGACCCCAGCCACAGCCAAGGGAACTTCATGGGCAAAAGGTTCTTCTTTCAATCTGGTGGGATCACCAAGGAATAATCCACTTTGAATTCTTACCACCTAATGCAACAATTAATGCTCAAATATACTGTCAGCAATTAGAGCATTTGAACCAAGCTTTGAGGAAAAAAAAGACCTGCTCTAGTGAATCGAAAAGAGGTGATGTTTCATCAGGACAATGCGCAACCCCACACAGCAAGAATCATGTCACAAAAGATCGAAGAACTTGGTTGGGAGAAAATTCCTCATCCAATTTTATTCTCCCGATCTTGCTCCTTCAAACTACCATTTGTTTCGTAGCTTACAGAATCATTTGGAAGAAACAGCTTTTGTAACACAGGAAGAGGTTAAAACTGACATTTGTGAGTTCTTCGAATCAAAGGCAAAAGAATTTTACAGTAATGGAATTAGTAAGCTTGTTAATAGATGGAAGGAAGTCATAGATAATCAGGGAAAATACATTGTTGATTGAATCTGTAATTAAATGTAACATTTGGTCACTTGTTTTTTTTATTCAAAATTCGGACAGAACTTATGGGATGACCTGATATATATGTGTGTGTATGTGTGTGCAGAGAGATAGAATAAGTGAACAAACATCAGAATTTTGTGAGAAGGCTTTCTTAGTTTAGGCTGAGAAATTTTTTGCACCTGCCTCGTGTATGAGGCACACACACACACACAAACATCTATGTTGACTTGCAAATTATGATGTAACATTTATCAACATAGCACCATGAGCAAAATTAATTAGTAGAATTCAAATCATCTACTGATGCTGCAGTAATGCCTTTTAGAAAGACATGAACTCACATCTTCATGTTCTGTCTAATTTTCAGATGTCCTAGTAAAGATCTTATCATTAGCGTGCCATGATGACTGGCAAAAAGTGTGCAGTCTGTTACTAATGTTTATCATTGAGATGCAATGTGTATGCTACCAGAGAAATAACCTAAAAATAAATATTAAATCCTGTTTGATCTTTCAAAATTAAAAGAAGCTTATACTAAATGTCAATAAGATGGATGATAACCTGAAAGTAAAAAAAAAAAATCACAAAAGAAATACCACTCCTTGGGTTTCATTTGTTTTAGTAATTTTTTTTTTTTTACCACCTTTGGTTTGTTTGTAAACATATCACAGCTAAAGACTTCCCTACAAACTCTTTCCTGGAAGTACCATTTAGAAATAGTTCCCCCCAACCCCCTAATATTATCAAATATTGATAAATATAAACTTTGGAAAATCTCAGATGTAATTTTTCTCTTGAACATTAAAAAAGAAAAAGAAAAGAGAAAAAAATACCAGTTTAGTGAAAAGTAAATCCAATGACAAATGGATCTTCAGTTTGTGGTAAATTGCTTCTAAGAATTGTCGGATATTTCGTATCATGTCTTTGTCCTGAAAAGAAGAAAGGAAATTACAATAAGTTGCAAATGATAAATTATAATATTCTTGAAATACATTATGAAATATTTAAAACACGAGATGATAGATCGTTTGAAAATTAATGGTAAATTTCAACTGGCAAATTATTAGTCATATCCAGCAATATTAATAGAGGTGAGGAGTTGACTTAATAGCAAACAACACACACACACAAAATGGAATCAGCAAACATAGATCAAATTTTGGCTGAGATAGTTTGTATTCATTTTATATTAATGTTCTTGGGAAAGATATGAATCTAATTCTCAGAATAGGTCAGGTCAGTGAATACTTTCTGCTGCTGATATCATGTAACCCAGAACAACCTGTTGCAGGTTATTTGGAGAAGTGATGGGCACTTTCAAGTAGCCCTCAACTTGTTTCCCTAAGAAATTCAATAAACAATACATCATGGCACACCAACTAAGTCGTGAGGTAATTTGAAATTGATTTTTGAACAATTTTAGTCATATAACTAATTGTTTTGCCAAACTGGTGGTACTTTTTGCTAGGTTACAAAATGTTCTATCTAGAATTCTAAATAATAATATTTTCATAAATTTTGCTATTGCGGATACCTGACATCATTGGGGGTGTGCAGGGTGGGCAGTGCTACTTGGAACAGTGCTAAGCACTTGTAGGCAGGTGCTGAGATATAAACATCATCACCCAGACAAAATATCTGAGAGTCAGAGATCTCAATCTCAATAATAATAATGATGATGGTGATGATAAATGAATGAAAATAAACTTGGCCCAAATAGTTCTGAAACTGTTTATAGCATTAACCAAGAATGGAGATATAGAAACACTTTGGACCATTCAGCTTATCTTTGATTTGAACTATCTCCAAAATAAAAAATTTAAAATAGCATAGAAGACATTATTTTTTGCAATTGCAGATGACTAACTGGAGTGAGTTGATAGAATAACATCAACCACAAAACCAAATTAAAAATCTCAGCAAGTTAGTTCCATATTAACTCGTTAATGTCCATTGTTCCAAAAATAAAATGGTGACCATTAACGAGTTGTAAGTAGAAAGCAATAATCAATACTGAATTTTGGTAAACTTATAATTAATGCCAGATTTTATGGTGGGTATAAACAGGCTAATAAATTTATTTCAAATTGGTCATCATTTTCTAGACAACCTGATACTATATGCATATATCATAAATATGGTTTTGTATATATATGACAGGGTGCTGAAAAATCTAAACATATAATCAAGCATTAGAATTTCTTCTTGATTTGGCTGAGAAATTTTCAGCACCCTTATATGTATAATTATATATATATATATATATATATATATACATACACACACACACACACACACACACACATTTCAAATATGGTGATAAGGAAGTGAACTTATCTCATGAACCAACCAACCAACCAACACCCAGTTCCATCCTTTTCTATATTGTATAGTTAGTTTTTTTTTCTTCTTTTTTTTTTTTTTACAGAGATTGTAGTATTGGATCATTTTAGGATCCAATGACACCCAACATGTACTGGAAAGATAACAAGGAAATATAACCAGTAATGTTTTACTACAATATTTTGCTGAATCTGTGTAGTGTTTTTGTAGTGTGTGTGTGTGTGTGTGTTATAATCCGGTATATGAAACAAGGTGGAAGAAATGTGGCTTGTTGTTCTCACAAGGAATAAAAGTAGCCTTTATATGGAAACATGTTAATGGATGATGTCATAGCTCTGTTCCCTAACTACATTACCATTGATTAGTTATTAGTCTTATTTCTGATCAGTTTCTGAGTATAATGAATTTGTGACTTCAAACTATAGACTGGCTCAGCAGCACTTGACTTCAGAATACAGTTTTGCTGCAAAGGAGATTAAGCAAATACACTTTGGTGAGGATGCTAATTAACTAATTTGTGACATAAAAAGATTTTGATTATATTCAAAATTTTAACAAAGACAAGTTGGTGTTTGTTCTAGTAGTTAGAATGTCAACATCCTGACCACAAGACCCAGTTTTGAATTTCGCCGTTATCAATTTGTTAAGAAGGTGACTTGATAATACTAGCTTGAAAAGATGATCCCAGTATGTGACACTGTTGGGAAGCACACCACAAGTTGACAATGTCCTGTGGGTGAAATTGGTTAGAACTGTTTGGAAGCCATCATGACGAAGGGTTTCAAACTGTTGATCATGCCAGATTATGCACTCTCTTCCTGAAACTATAACTATGCTATGCTCAGCATAGTTGCAGGTTTGCACTATGGCTTTTAAACAAACACAAATATGCCAGAGCAGATGTCTGTAACAGGGATTACTTAACCACCCTAAAAGATAGGCATACTTAGCTACAGGTGGCCAGCCATACTTGATGAAGGTAATAAATCATTGAACTCTAGAGACATCCTATCCAGTGCCAAAATTCTGATATATTGCTTTTCATGGATCATTAGTTGACCCTTATTTCCCCCCCAAAATCACTAATATTCAAGATCTTTCCTATCTTTTGCTATTTTTCTAAACTCTCATCTATTTTTATTTTTGCTTGACACCATTTATATTTACCTAAAATCTTGTTTTCTTATGTTCAAAGAAATCCTAATGTTTATCTTTTCCATTTATCTTTCACTCTAATTTATCACCATTAATTACCTCCCACCAAAGAATATCAGTGACTGGCCTTTTTACCTGCAAACTTTTTTTGTGAGGTGGGTGGGTGTTGGGTTAATGTAGGAGTTGTCAACTTGGTTTAGATGACCCTAACCACATTATATCTATCTTTGGCTTGGATTTTTCACTTTTCTTATTCCTTAGGAGGTATTTTCCAGATGGACTAGTGCAACTCCTGTTAAACTGTGTTTAACAACAGATCGCTGGCAAGTGTCGTGTATGTTTGGCCCTGAGTTGTTTATACCTCCTAACCTGTAGTTAATGACTAAGTTTAACTACAACTGGTTATTATTACTTAGCTTGTAAGAGTTAACTTGAACGGTTTTCTATCTTGTCATTTTAGTTTTAAGTAAAAATGCTCATTGTGCATTTCAGATTAATTAGACTTTAAATCAGTTAATTTATCTCAAATAATATTTCAGAAAAGGATATTTTATTTTTGAAAATTTTTTTAATACAGACAATTATGTTGACAGATTTGTCAATATGGATAAATTTATCAATTTTGCTGATAAGTAGAAAACAAAATTCTAATCAGTTTAAATTCATTTTGAAATACAAAGTATTTTGCTTATTGGGGATATTAGATTTAATCTATTCACTTGAAATAGAAACTAAAATTAAAACATCCAGAAAAATTTTTAATTTTTAAAATGCTTTTTTTTTAACTTTAGGCATTGTTTTTTTTTCTTTTTTGAGATACCTAGTTTTGGGTATTTTTTTCATCATGGATCATTTTTTTAGTAAATATTTGGAGGTACTTATTAGACAGATCCAGAGTTTGAATAGAATACAAAGAAATTGGTATTTTCATATTTCACATTTAACTCAAAGAGATAATGAAGTTAAATTTCTTGCTAAAAGGAGAAAAGATAAAAGTATCTTTAATGTAATTCCCCAGAGAAGGTTAGAGGTCAGAAAGATGTACTTAAAGCTGATATGATAACCAGAGACAGGAATTTTTTAGAATGTAAAACATTTTATTCTTTCTCATCAACTCTCTCTCTCTTTTTCTCTCTTTTTCTGATATATCAATTGTTTGATATGAAGGAAAGCTGATACTTCATAAAATAGGAAAACCAACTTACCTTTGAGCTTACAATACATGAAATTTAAAAACAGTCATCACTAATATTAATGAGCCAATGAGTACAAATGTAAGAACAATATTAATAATGGATCAGTTCCACTTTGGTCTTATGCATATAACTTTGTGGGTGTTGTTATTTAAAGAAAAAGAAGTTATGAACACACACACTTGTTTGTGAAATTTCTAAGTCAAATGTGCATTTTTTTCAGGCAATAAAAAGGGATACAAAATGAAAAGGAATGAAAAGAAGTAGACATATATATAACTTTTCACTCCTATTTTTTTCTCTTTTCTGGTATTGTAAGTTTCAGGCCTGTCAGATTGTTTCCCACAAAAAAGGGACAAAATGAAATAAAAACAATGCCACTTACACTCTTCTATTTCCTTGCTTCCTCTTTGACTCCACTTCACTCTCCATCTTTAATCAAGTGACTAATCATTAGCCAGTTTCCCTCTTTATACTCCTTTATTCATCTAAACATTCTCCCACAATGCATTTCAACATCTCTCTTGTACCTAATAATTCTCATTATCTTCTGTTTCTTTCATTTTCTTTTTCCACAGACATTCATTGTGGAGAAAAAATCTAAGTTCACATAACACATTTTTTTCTTCTTCTTCTTCCATGATCCTTTACATGACAGGTATTCAAGAAAAATGATTCAGATTTTGCCAAAGCCTTTTCTCAAATTTCGTTGGTCAAGATTGGACATACATCAAATTGTAGATATGCAAAACAGAGATTAAAATGTGTAGATCTTGACATTTTAATTACTTTACATTTTTTGCATTAAGAAATGATATGTGATACAGTCTGCATGTGGCTCATAATGCAGCCAAATTCTATGTTTACATTTTCAGAAGGAATAGCATAGGAAAAATCATTAGAAACAGAACTATTATTACTAGTTTACATACAATGGACTATCCAAAAGTTTGGGGAGCTTCTTCAAATAAAGAAGAAAAACAAAATAAGGAGTGGATTTCTTTATTTATTGAGGGAGAAATTTTGAAAGATGTGTGTTGGTGAAATGTCCAGCAAGACACAAGTAACACTGGGTAACTTGACAAATAAGCAGACTGAAGAATGTGTTTAAATTCCTCAATTTTTTGACACTGACTTGTACAGGTAGGATTGGGGATGTCATTAAAGATTTGCCCTGACCCATCCACTTCCAATTAGCATAGCAAGATGAAATTGCACATGTAGAAACATGTATTCATACATGTCATATGCTTCAATTTGCTGATCTATATTAATAAATGTTTCTTGAGTTCCAGGTTTGAATATGTAATAAGTTGTGACTATGGAACCAATGGATTCTTCTTTTTCTTCTATGTGCCATGTCTCTTCAGGACATGGGCGATATTGACTCTCCACAAATTCCTCTCCTTTGTAGTTATTTGTAAAGTTTGTCTTTTCACTGTCCTTCCAGTGCCTGTTCTACCATCCATTTACACAAGCTTGTTAAGTACATTACTATTTCCCTCTGTTACTCTTGCTTTCATGTCCTGTGAGTGTCAAATTCTCCAAGCTCTTTTTCCTCATTATGAGTGTTAGAAATTTCAACCATCTCTTTCTGATTCTAAGTATAAGCATTCTTTTTCTTTCCATTTTCCTTAAAACTTCCTTATTACTCACCTGTTCAGTTCATGGTATTCTCAGCATCCTTCTGTAGAACCACATTTCTGTTATTTCAATACTCTTTTTTTTTTATCTGTGAGGTGATTGTCCAGAATTCACTGCCATATAGGAGGACAGATATTACTGGCACTGAATTACTAGAGCTGTAATCAGTTTCCTGTTTTTAAAATACAACATAACACAAACAATTTTGGAGGAGATGATGGCAGGATAATAACCAGATGCCCCATCCTATTGTATCATTAAGTACTGGTATTAGCATTTGAAATGTGGTTGGATTTCAATGGAAACTGACCTTATTCCTGCCCACTTTCACTCAGCCATTGAGAGTGACACAATCAAATAAGTAGAGATTGCAATCTTATGAGAATATTGTATAACTATTCAGTAACTAGTGAACAGAGTCACTATTAGTATAGGGTTTTGTGAAAAAAAATAATCCACAAATTCTTACATATATAGAAGGTGTCAGTGTAATGGACTCCTCATACCTTTCAATTGTTCTGTGAAGTTTTGGCCATGTGTCAGGAAAATATAAAAACTTTTTGCATGACTAATTAGGAAGGATTAATTACTTTAACCCAGAAACTAAAGAACATGTGAAACAATGGAAATATGGTAATTCCTCACTACACAAAATGGTACATATTCAACCTAATACTGGGAAGGTGATGTTCAGTCTTTTGGGGTCAAAATGATGTGGTGATTATGGATTTCATGGTCAAATGTACCACTTTTCTGTTGAAATTATGACAAGCTATTAAAACACAGAGATGTGATATACTCAGCAAAGTTGCCTGGTTCTTGCAAGATAATGCCCTAATATAAGCCCTCCCCATTCTCCATATTCTCTTGGCAATAGCACAGTCCAATTTCATTTGCTCCACCCACCCATGAAGTTATATTTTAAGAGCAACCTCTCCAGGATGATATCACTGATTAATGATTCTACTTCTGACTGAATGCCCAACCAGTGTTCTATATAAAGGTTTTCCACAACTGCATCAACTAATGGGAGAAGTTTTTAACTCTTCTGGGTGGAAAGCTATAAGGAGAAAAATTAATTGATATTCCAATTTTCATGTTTTTCCATCCATTGAAAATTGTTAATGAACACCACTTATACAAAACCATTATATTAATCATAAGGAATATTCATAAAATGAAACTGAAAAATAAATGTAAGGCAACTTTAACTGTACTGAAAGAATAAATGACTTGTATTATGAAACAGAACAAATCAAGTTCAACTGACCTTTGAGAAATCATTTACAGTTTTTTTTCCGTTGTGAGAACTGTTATCATGTTTCATTCTTGTTGATTCCACTGGAATATCTGGAACCCCAGCATCAACCAAATGCTTATGTAATGCAGAGTTCTGTCAGAAAAGTAGAAGGCAAAGAATGGCATTAAAAAATGGCGAGCAGGCAGAAATTTATGATTTAGTTATAATACTATTTTGTTAGTCATTTGCTATATAGTTTTTTATAAGTTTCCAGTTGGTCCATTATTAACATTTATTAAAAGAAAAAATGAAAATTATTAATGAATTAAAGACAATGTTCTTTCTTTTTGTTTTTATAATAATTACTGACTTTTTACTTAATTGACTAACAAAAATAATCTTTCCCAATGAAATGTATTGCACTATACAATAAATAAAAGAGTAACAAATATTTTCTCTTATATTTGTCTTTATTTAGTCTATTTTCTGAAGTTTGTCAAATGAATTTATCTGGTAAGGAAATATATTATCATTTTCAAATATTATGATTCCAACAGTCATTTTGACGACTGGGAATCATTTGCAACAGCTTGTTTAGGTTAGTTGATTTGATGCATGGTTTACAAATTAGTGAAAACAAACCCCAAAAAACTGTTGAACTGTATTTAAATATTCTTTTTTTCTTTAAACCTTTCACCCCACAAGTAAGGTGATAATGTCACTAAGATGCCAGGAGTTACTAAGAGTAAAAGAGAATGAAAAGAAGTTAGTATGGAAAAAGTCAATGAAATAACAGGATTCTGAAAGACAGAGATGGCAATTGACATTGTATTTAAATTTTTGAAGATTGTAGGTGGCAGGAAAGCAAAAAAAACAGAAGAGAGTTCCACAAGCAAAGGGCATAAGAAAAGGAGTATTTGAAGAGTTCTTATGGTTACATCTAGCTATTTCAAAAGTAAAATAATTAAGCTTAGTTGTTAATCTTGTAGTCCGCTTAAATTCATGCAGTCAAGTAGGAGAGCACATTAGAACAATTACCATGAAAACATTTATATAAAAGATACAGAGGGAAGCTACATCACAGCAGTAGGAAAGTGACTGAAGTTGAGGTGCCAGGTTGGGATTGATAACATTACAGAGCCTTCTTTGGATTTTGTTGAGAATCTCAAGATATATAGCAAGAGCACCAGAACAGATATAGTAGTAATATTCAAGAATAGTAGAATAAATTTGTAAAAGATGGGTTAGTGAGAAAAACTGTCTGGCATGACATAGTGAACAGATTTTCCTACCAGCAGACCTAGCAATTGATTCAATATAATCTTTCCACTTCATATCAGTGGAAAACATGAGACTAAGAAGGTGCAGCAAGTCACTCTCCTGAAGATTAGCATTAGCCATGCTGATAAAAGGTAAAAAATGGTTCTCTATGATGATTAAATGACAGCAGTTTTGTTTTGGAGATATTAAAATTTGCAAGCTATTTAACAATTGATTGGAGGTCATTTTTGAGAGCAGCTGCCAGTTTTACTTTGTCAGACCTTACTATTAAAATATGAGTAAATATATGTACCTTAAACATAAATCCTGAGTTGGGAACTGATGACATTGGAAAGGTTGTTGATGAAAACAAGAAACAACACAGTCCTCAGGGAATGTGTAAGTATCTAGAAGTGTGGCCATTCAACATGACTTTCATTTTACAATTTATTCAGAATCATTGGATTAAGTCAAATATTCTGCCAGAGACACCATAGCTTGTGAAGGAGGCCAGCATCCCTATCAAACACCTTTGAGATATCTAAAACTACAGACTGAGGCTCACCATCCTTATCTTTATAAACAAATTCAGTAATTTCTGTTAGCATATCGGCAGTTGACCTAGAGAAATGAAAGCCATATTGTTTATTTGAAAGAAGGTCATGTCAAGTGAGAGGCTTAACTCATTCAGAGTTAATTAGAACTTCTAGTACTTTGACAAAAAGTGATAAAAGACTAATAGGACAATAATTCAAGGGATCAGAAGGTTCACCAGAATTCTTAAAGACAGGAACTACAGAGTTTCATTTCCAACAAGTTGAAAAGTAAGATGCAGCAAGGCATTTGTTGTAGGCTTTGGAGAGACCAGGAGCCAGTTCAGGAGAACATTCCCTTAGAAAGATTGTGGGGATACTGTCAAGTTTGCATATTTCTGGGGAGGGGGGGGATTTAGTTGGATGATAATAGCATAAATCATGGACAGAGTGATGCAGATATCACTTAGGAGGAGTGATTCAGTTTTAGGTGGAAAGTCAGGCAAAAATACTCCTGATGAGTTGAGTGGAGTTGGAAGAGAATTTTGAAGTAAAGCATTATGCTTTATCAGTAGCAGATGACAATATTTCAAACTGATTAAAGTGAGGAGGGATAAAGGATTTACTCTTGTTTAACACACTCTTACAGAGCTGTCAGTAATCTTGAGAACCAAACTTGTGACAGTCTATATGGAATTTCATTCTATCAGTGATGTTGTTGTGGATACACTTACATTCATTATGAGCGGATACAAAGAGGTGTCTGTTAGAATCTGAACTGTAACATTGGTATAGCTAGAAGAATTGATGCTTGTGTGAACAGGCAGAAGAGAAACAAGGAGAGGATTGCAGTTTCACTTGGTATTTCTGTGCTGTCACAAAAGCTGCAATACCAGCTTTCACCCAGGAAGAAACCTTGGTGGAACAATTTTCAATGGGATGATTAAAAATTTTACTCCAAAGAAGTGTCACAAAGAAAATCACAGAATGCGTCCCAATCAGTGTGTTGGTAACAAGAATGACAAGAGACTGAAGAGGAAGAGAGGGACAGATCAAGTAAAGAAGTGTGTCTGTCAGAAAAAATAAATTACTAGGGAAATGAGTAGGAAAATTATTAAATAAATTAAGCAAAAAGAGGGGAAAAATAAATTTATTAAATGAATATTTTTGTAAAACAAATTGTGACAAACAAGGAAAGGCGTATACTTTATAACATTAATAGTTAAAGGTTGCAAGGCAAGTTAAATGAACCACCACCAAAGGTCAATTATCAATCACCCAAGGGGAAGCTATATATCTGGCATGATTTGAAAGTGGAATCTCCAATCATCAAACATCTTGATAAATTAGCTTGTTAACCATCACACCACCATAGCTTCCCAAAATAAAAGCCTGTATGATTATTTACTAAGTGTAAATTCATCTGGCAAGAAGTCAGAGTAATATGGCACCTTCAAACTTAATACATTGGTAAACTGGCCGATGAAATTAGCTTGTTAGCCATCATGCCAACATAGGTGGCCAAATAAAAGGTATAAAACAAATAAACAATTTTATACCACTTTGCTTGTATTTATATTTGCAACTGTGGATATCTAAAAATTAACTTTATCTCATGCTTTCTGGCAGTCTCAAATAATTGGCAGTTAAAATAACAGTCAGAATGACTAGATCATATGCAAACTTAACATTTTACAAGGCACAAAAAATATAAAGGTAACTTATATGAAATATGGTTTCTGTTGGGTGCTTTAAGGCTCACATATATGTTTTTATGTGTGTGTGTGTATAAAATTTCAGATAGAGTATATCTGTAAAAGGACAATATGAATAAAGACAAAAGGAAAACTTAGCTGATGTGTTTCATCCTCTGAAGGACTTTATCATTTCCCTTGATAAAGTCCCTCAGAGGACAAAACCTGTCAGCTAAGATAAGTTTTCATTCTATACAATATATATACATATATATATATATATATATATATATATCATTTCACCCCAAGCAAGTCAATAAAAGCCACTAAGATGCCAGTGGTTATTCAGAATGAAAAAAACAGAGAGAACAATAACAGAACAAGAATTAAAAAGATTGCATTAGATTATTAAAATAGCATTTAAAGTTTTGAAGATTTTATTTGACAGAAAATTAGAAGAGAGTCTAATAACCAAGAAGTGCTAGAGAATAAACTGCCAGCCTAAAACTTATGGCTATAACTACCAATTTCAACAGTGAAATTATGAGACCTACATGCCAACCTAGTACTGCGCTTACATTTATGAAGCCAAGATACTAAGGAGGAAAGCTCATCTGAACAATCACCATAAAAAGATTTTATAGAGAGACAAAGGGAAGCTATTTTATGACAGTGCAAAATCGACTGAAGCCGAAATGCCAGGTCATGACTGATAACACTGTGGAGTCTTCTTTGAATTTTGTTAAGAATCTCTAGATATAAAACAGAAGCACCAGACCAGATGTAGCAGAAATATTCTATACATGGCTGAATAGCAAACTGATAAATGTGTAAGATAGTTTTTAGCAAGAAAAAATATGAGACCAAGAAAGTGCAGTGAGTTACTATCCAGCCTATACATATATATGTATGTATGAAATCATATTATGATAATAGTACCTACAATGCCTGATGATTGCATTTAGTTTGAAACTATGTAGTTTTTCGTTTGTGTGTTTAACTAAATTTTGCTGTGTGTGTGTGTGTGTGTATATACATGTCCAAACGTTTCTATATTTTTATTATTTAGCATCCAGTTCTCAAAGAAGTAGACAATAGGCACTCTTGCTATCTGTATGTATATGATGATATTAGACAGACTGTGTCCTACAGCCTTGGGTGGCAACCAGTCTAGGAGAAGGACAACTCTGAATTCAAAATCTGGGTGGTCAATTACTAAATTGGCTCCCTCACTAAGCCTCAGTATGGCTACACCCTGGATGATGATACTGTAATTTAAATTATATTTAGGCAGCAACTCTTTGTTTAAACATATTTTATTAAATAGGACAAGGAACATCAGTAGAGACTTTTGGTGAGTTTCTGTGTAATGCTGTCAGTACTTTCAACTATAGTTGGTGGTTTTCAAAGAAAAAAGAAAGAATGTCAAGAGACAGCTACTGTAGCATTTATATTGTTAACAATCTGAAGTTTAAAATAAACATGGGTTCACATGTTCTAACTGTAATATAGATTTTAGCACATGTGTGTCTAGAGTGAAACAAATTTTACTGATGCTGGGTTTCTGCCCTTTGATGATATTAATACATAAAAAAACAGT